TCGTGGTCTTGCTTTTCTCGGCGCTCGTCAAGGCCGATGGAAGCTGCTGGTCCTTGTGTCCGGTGGACACACAAGTAGTTGACTCGATCTCCGGCGTGTCCACCATGGTAATCACAATCGAAGGTTTGTCGATGGCAAGCGCAAGTGGGTCAGGAGGGTTTCTCGGCGGGTGTCCATCTACATCTAGTAGTTTGTTCTCTTCGTCATCGTCTGCTTTGTCGTAGCTGAAAATTGAAGATCCGGTCTGGCTGGTCCGTTGGCTCGTCACAGGCTGCTGCTGATGTGCAGTCTTCCAACGACCAAGCGAACCACAGGCTGTTCTCGACTTGTCGCGAGAACCTCCACGGCGCATAGAACACAGGGACCGCTGGTGTGCTTTTCTATTACCAAGACGCGGCGGTCGTGCAGCTTCAATATGTTTCCACCCCTCGTCGACTGCTAGGAAATAATCGTCGAGTCCCTGGAAACGAAGAACAAGCACCCCGCTGACGATTAAAACGTACAAAATGTGAACCAACGGCGCGGCAACGCCACAGAGGAAGAAGGAATAGAGGATAAACCCCCTCGTCAGAAAACTGTATTCCGGTCCGTGAAAGTTGGAAAACAACTTGTCGAGCGTCAGCTCGTTCGGATTATCGTCCGGACTCAGGAAAAGTCGCTCGGTCATCACGCTGCTAGAAGTACTTCTCGTTGAATTGTCCGAACGCGAGGAGCTGGAGGTGGAGCTCATCTGATCATCATCGTCGCCGAAAACTACCCGTTCGGAACGAGTTGGGTCTCTATCTCGGAGGACTTTAAAGTTACGCTGGTCCAACAGAGGGGATGAAGAGGACTCATGTGCTGGACGAGGAGCTGCACGAGGGTTCTTGATGTTCTCGCGGAGGTTATCTTCCTGAGCAAGGAATCTTGATCTACTGTCCCATTGCTGCTGTTCTTGAAGATGCTGAGGGCCATGTTTATTTCCGTCATCTGCCTCCGTGGTTTTTGTCGCACTACTCGTACGAGTTGCTGTGAGTGCACTAATTGTCGGTTTGCTTTTCATTTTGCCCAGGGCATAATCCGCTGTCAAAGCTGCAAATTGAGGTTGCTGTCGGCGCTGCGCAAATGGTCCTTCATCTTCAGTTTCTGTCTGAGACGACACTCTTTCTTGAGCTACATTGCCTTCGGCCGGATTGTCTTCGGCCTGATCATCATCTTCAGCATCATCATCTTCATCATCATCGTGAAAAGATAAAGGACGTCGATCTTCAACATTATTTCGCGGCAAGGGTATAAGTCGGGGCACAAAGCGAATTGAGTCCAGGTAACGCAGCGCATGAGTTTCTACTTCTGATGGTGTGGACGATGATGTACTTCTCGGTGTAGATCCTTGGGGGACTCTCGTACTAGCACCGCCCCCCGCACGACCACCACCCCTAGCTTCCAGATACCGCTGCAACAACTGGTGTTTGTACTCGTTCCTTCCGGGAAGCAAAATCCTTGCTGCCTCGTGACTGTGGAGTACACAGATGTACGAAGCACAGAGCAAAACGATCAGGCAGTGGAGAAAAAGCGAGGAGTATTGCCGGAGCCGGAGGGTGGTCTCGCCAGAGGAGGAGCAACGCTTGGAGGATCGGCACTTTGCCAGAAAAGGCATCCTACTT